CTACCATTACAGAACCTCTGCTGTACACAATCATTCCTTGAATACATGTCACCAAATTGCGGCTGTTTAGGGGTTCTTGTCTTGGTCATCCCTCTTTAGCGCTTTTGATTGTGCTCATGAACGCTGGTGAAATTTACATAATGACACTGGGTGAGCAATGTCGTCTCAAAGAAAATTGTCCATGTACCACAACGAGTCATACTACCATATCACAATCGTTCCAGCCAGCTTCTTACCCCTCCTGCTGCCTTGTCTCATTAGCATTGCAAATACCACCTAAAGCAAGAACAGGGATGGCAGCAGCAGAGGAAATAGGACAGAATTAACAAATTATGTAAGAAGCGTGGAACGGACGGAAGGAACAGAGTGTAGCAACAAGGATGTGGGTGATGAGGAGGGGGTGGCAAGAGCATATTACAAATCTCATTACACTTTAACTTGACAGTTTAAGATGACATCTATTTATATTGATCCTGTGACTCACTGTGATGATATTAAATACAATTTATGTGCATATTATTCCTTTGTGGCACAGAGGTTTCACCATTTACTGGTAAACTACAACCATCCAGACAAAACATTTTTATCTGACAAGCATACAATCAATTATTTATGTGTCAAACGAATTTAAATGATCTGTATTATTTTGACCGAGCGATGATAATTTTTCTAACACAATAATTTCTGCTACAGCACCATCATTAGTGCTTTTCAATGGCACATTTACCTAAAATCACTTAACCCAGATCTTATCATTCATGGAGCTTAAAGTGTATACTTGTCTTTAAAACACAGTTCACTGAGAAATGTTTTTTTACTTGTTATTTTTGAAATATGATCTGAGTTTAACATAAAGGGCTAAACCTGAAAATAGTCATCTACTTTTATTTCCTGCATTTGCTGCCAATTAAAAGTATATGAGGAAACTCTCGGATTAGAAAAAACTGTCGGATCTACGTCACATTTGAAAATTAGCATTCATGAACTCACCGATCTTTGCTCACGGCAGGAAAGGCTGATGTTTAAGCATCCAGGAAACAGCAGAGAACATCTCAGGTAGCAAAAGCTAACTGTTAGCATTAGCAACTCCACCACACAGCAGAACTCCTTCAGGCTTGTGTTATTTGTAGAGATAAAACAACCATGATGCAGCGCAAACGGAGTCAGAGCTGAAGTCGCATTGCTGTTATCCAATCAGAGGCAAGATGTCCACATATAAGGAATTAAGACTCCAAGACCTGCCGTCTTCTGCTCCCCTCTGCTCTGGCTCACTTTAAGTTCCTGAAACAGGAGCGCCAGAGCCTTTTCTCCCCACAGAGATCGACTCACAAGGCATTCATTTATACTAGAAACCACTGTAAATGTGTTGAAATAATGAGTGAACTTGGTCTTTAAAACAACTTAAAAAAATTGTTTAAAGTGGCTTCTTTACTGAGGAAAAATAAAAGCTGCATCATCAAGAAAAACAAGCCAATTATTGTTAAATCAAACACAAGGTTAAAGAAGTAAATCTTTTTTGGGGAGCAGGTGCAAGCAAAACAACACAAATCATCAGACTAATCACTGCTTCTCACATCAACATGACATTTTAATTTCATTCTTAATGTGTGTTCAAACTTTTAGTTGAAACAACATTTATTAAAATATGGCACTGCTTCTTCATTCAATGATTTTTATTTGTGTCTCTGGAGTGCTGTTGAACTTTATAACTTAGATTTTGTAATATAAACTGTAATAGAAAACACATTTTTTTGAAGACTTCTGTATTAATCAAGATCCCTTGGAACAATAAAATATTTGGAAGATAGAAGCAGCAAATGAGTTTAAACTAGATGAAATATATACTGGGATTATACCGTAAAGCAATGTGGTTTTCGTCCTGGCCGTGGAACACTGGACCAGCTCTATACCCTTAGGGGGATCTTGAAGGGTGCGTGGGAATTAGTCCGACCAATCTACATGTGTTTTGTGGATTTGGAGAAAGACGTTCAACTTCGTTCCTCGGAAGCCCTGTGGGGGGTACTTCGGGAGTATGGGGTACCAGGCCCTCTGATACGGGCTGTTAGGTTGCTGTATGACCGGTGTCAGAACTTGGTCCCAATTGCCAACAGTAAGTCGGCCCGTTCTCGGTGAGAGTTGTACTCCGCCGAGGCTGCCCTTTGTCGCCGATTCTGTTCTTCGGTTTTATGGACAGAAGAAGAGGAAGAAAAGATCTTTTCTTTAGCGCCTCTCAAGATAAAAATCACGAGGCACTTCACCAAAACAAATAATGTAAAATATAAAATTTTTTAAGAAAACAATAAAAAATATATTTCAAAAAAGCAAAAATTGACAATTGGGATTAAAAATGTTAAAGAAAGAGAGAGAGAGTGAATAGGAAAGAGGGAAATCAGTGGATCCTAAGGAGGGTGGAATAGGTAGGGAGAGCAGAACAAGGAGAGGGTGATGAAGGTCACACCAAAACCAGCCTGAACAGGTGAGTTTTCAGCTGTTTTTTAAAGGAGTCCACTGATCTCAGTGGACTCTCCCTTTACGCTCAGGGGGAGAGAGGTCCAAAGTCTGGGGGCCACAGCAGCAAATGATCTGTCACCTTTGGTCTTTAGCCTGGTGCACTGCACAACCAGTAGGATTTGGTCACTGGACCTCAGGCACCTGCTGGGGGTGTAGGGACTAAAGCCTGATTCATGCTTCTCCGTCTGCGTCATTGCGGGGACACGCAACGTCCTTGTGGGCCTGCCGGAGAGCTCCGCAAGGACGGACGGAGTCGAGCTCTCTTTTCTAAACACCCGTCAGTCGAGACGGACAACAAGCTTGTGATTGGTCAGGACGCCCCTGTTGTCTACAGCACTGCCATTGCGCCCTCAAAAACATAAAGAGAGCCGAGGATAACAAGCGGCAGACACGGAGAAGCTTGAAGAATACCTTGCGAAAAAACTCTAAAAACATGAACGTTTAATTCCCCGTGTCTGGATGAGTGAAAAGATGCACAGCAAGTATTTTATTTGTGGATGGAAATGACAGGAAACGTGGGTTTAGAGGTGGCGAGCGCATGAAGAGGTGGAGGAGAATGAGACAAATTTGTCTATGTTAAAAATTCTCTTATATACAAAAAAACATAATATAAACACATTATCTTGGACCGAATACATGACAGGATACCACAGAACAGCGCTACGCCCTCTGCTGTCCTGCCAGGCAATTGCTTTGCAACACTCTCCAGGAGGCGGAGAAGTATGAGAGCAAAACGCTTCCGTCAATCCGTGCGTGTCTGTCCCTTGCGGAGCTGATGGAGAAGCATGAACCAGGCTTAAGAAGATCACCAATATATGATGGTGCTTGTCCATGTAAGGCCCTATAGACCAGAACCAAGATCTTGAAATGAAACCTGAAGTTGACTGGCAGCCAGTGAAGCTGGAGGAGAAGCGGGGTGATGTGGGTGTGTTTGAAGGACTTGGTCAGAAGCCGAGCACAGGCATTCTGAACCACATGTAGACGGTTCAGGGAGGTTTTGCTCAGACACATGAAAAGAGAGTTATAGTAGTCTAAGCGTGAGGAGATTAAGGTGTGGATAACTGTCTCAAGTTCAGAGCAGGACAGAATGGGACTCAGCTTTGCAACGTTCCTGAGATGGAATAAGGAAGAGCGAACAGGAGAACTGACATGAGAATCCAGGGTGAGAGCTGGGTCAAAGGTCACACAAAGATTCCTGACGGAAGGTTTGGTGTGAGAAGTAATCTGACCAAGAGAGTCTCTGACCTTGGGAACCAGCTTATCTGGGGCGCAGATGAGGATCTCAGTCTTATCTTCATTCAGCTGTAGAAATTACAGCTGAATGTATTGTTATTGTATTATTATTATTATTATTATTATTACAAAGTTCCCAGCTATCTAGGTTTTATTAGTGTCAAAGCAGGAGTGTAACAGCTGCAGCTTAGACATCTCATGGGGCTTAAAGGAGATGTACAGTTGGATGTCATCTGCGTAAAGATGGTAGGAGATTCCTCCGAAGGAGCTGAGGATGTGCTGAAGAGGAAGCAGATGGAGGAGGAAGAGCAGAGGCCCCAGCACATAACCTTGTGGGACACCATGGGTAAGGGAGGTGGTGGAGGACCTAAACTTGGAGATGACCAAAGAGAAGGCGCGCTCAGAAAAATTAGATGAGAACCACCACAGAAAAGTTCCTGATAGGCCTACCCAGTCTCTCAGCCCCTCCAGTAGTAGGTGATAGTCACCAGTATCAAAGGCTGCAGACAGGTCCAGCAGGACCAGAACAGAACAGTCCCCTGCATCACTGTGAGTCAGAAGGTCATTAGAGACCCTAAAAAGAGCTGTTTCAGAAGAATGAGCTCTACAAAAACCTGACTGGAAGCTATTACATATGTTATGTTCATCTAGAGCAGCTGTAAGTTGTTTAGCCACAACCTTTTCCAAGGTCTTGGAGATGAACGGAAGTTTAGAGATGAGTCTGAAGCTGCTATGGAGAGAGGGGTCAAGACTCGTTTTTTTTTTAAGAAGCGGGTGGATTACAGCGTTCTTAAAGTAAGCAGGGACCTGATCAGAGACCAGAGAAGCATTAATTATAGAGAGCACGCTGGGACCGATGGACTGAAAAGCACTTTTAAACAATCAATCAATCAATTAATCAAAGCTTTATTTATAAAGTGCCTTCCGCAACCCTGTCAGGAAGCCCAAAGCGCTGAACATGGTTCAGTTGAAGGTAAATATATTGAATAAATCAAAAATAAAAGCAATTCAAATTACAAAATACAAATTACAAAATAGGTAAAACATTCTGGTACAGGACAAATGTGTAAAACAATGGATTGAGTGAACCAATGAAAACTGTGAAATAAATTCAACATAAAAGAGGGCCAAAATCAAACATGTTCTGGAAACGCCAAGCGGAGGTGGTGCGTTTTTAGGTGACTCTTAAAGGAGACATAACATGAAAAACCCACTTTTTTATCCGTTAACAGTGTGTTTCACATTTTAAGTGTCTAAGTGAGCAAAAAGGCTTATATTATTCACTGGAGTTGCTATTTAGATATTTAATAATTAAGTTTTGGGCATATTTGTCCACCCGTTCAGTTTTTCAAATTATCTATTAAATCAGTAATTAATTTCGTCAGGATAACTACCAAATATGGTAATGGCCCTCGGCTAAACACAGAGCCAATCCGCCATTTTTTCATCTCGCTAAGATTTTTTGTAGTCCTATTGGAAAAATGCAGAATGTCTGGTTATTTTAGCCACACACAGCTCAAAACTGTTCCTCGTTTTAAGGAAGGGTGGTGTGGCAGTATTTAAACCCAGGAGCTGATGACACTACTGCTAAAAAAAAAACAGAAGAAAAAGTAGTATGTGTGTGTGTGTGTGTGTGTGTGTGTGTGTGTGTGTGTGTGTGTGTGTGTGTGCGCGCGCGCGCGCGCGCGTGGTTCGTTCGTGTCTCCTGGCTAGTAAGTACCGAGGGCTTCATCTATCTAAAAGGAGTCATTCCCATCTGAATGTGGTAGCACCGGGACACAGCAGCAGAGCGGTAAGCTTCATATCACTCTAAAATGTCGACAAACTTTACTTTAGATTTACGGGCATTAGCAGCACTAAAGCGTTAGCATCCGGCTTGCTATCGCTAGCACATTATGCTAGTAAAGTTAGCACCCAGATTAATGTGGATTTGGCTGATTTTCGTGGAATAAAACGTGATTTCTGATCAACACCTTCTTTTACACCAGATGTACATCCACTGATTGTAGCAGCAGAGAGCCTGTGTGTTATTTCACGTGAGTGTGATGTAATCTTAGCATCCAGTAAATAAAGTCCCATATCAGCTAAAATGCAGCGTGACAAAGTCATTAAAGTGCGTCAACACAGTGGATTTAATAGTTTTAAAGAACAATCTCTGAGTGAAGTGAGGTTAGTTTTTTGTCTCACTGCAGATATAAAAACTAACTCTGCATCAGTCAGACGCAGCTAAGCTCACCGTCTGTATGAGCGTGAGCATCGGAAAGCTGATCAAATCAGCTGTAAAATAATTAAAACAACAGTAAAAATGCTCCTTTGCTTTTTAGAGTCCACATCCAGAAGTCTGGAGCCGTGTTTCACTGACAGGCTGTCAGACTAACGCCCTGATGAGCTCAGCTGGGACAAACTGGTCTGATGTTTAGGTAAGTGAAGATCTGCTTCTCCAAGTCCTTGAGATGCTAGTAAAAATAATTTAGCCAGCTTGCTAATGTTACTTTTCTTCTCCTCTAAGGAACACAGAACACTCAGATGTTGGAGCTCACGTCACCTACTGAGGAAGGAGACCCACCAGTAAAGAGACGGTCTGGACCAGACCAAAGTGAGTGATGACACACCTCAGCCACCCTCATCATTAAGAACACCTCACCCCCTGAATCACTCCGTCTGATGACAGCAGAGTGATTTATTTGATGTTTTACTTGTTTAGTCTGTTTAGAAATTATTGAATTACATTATTTTCTGTAATCGACCATCTGATCTGGATGTGTGCAGAATAACTTTCCCCAAATTCAGCAGCAGCTGGCCTACAAAAACAGCTGCAGCATGTAGTAAGTCTGTCTGCACTGCTCTCTAATGAGCTTCCTTTCATAAGGAATCATTTGTATAATTTTAGTGTCAATATTTTATTACATTTGTAAGAATATGAAGTCACTGCAGCAACACAAACGTGACTATAAACATGAAAGCTAAAGAAACAACTTTCCTAAAGCTGCTTGTAAACAAAATATGTCATTAAAGTTATCGTCTATCATTGCAGAATATGGCGATGACATCATGGAACTGGTCTTTGGAAAAGTTTTCCCTGAACCAACTCCGTTTCTAGATGAGGTAGAGAAGATCTGCATCTCACCAACCCTCTGGTCTCAGTATTCAGACAACGGAGGTCTCCCACTGTTATCCAGGACCAGTTTGAAGCCCACATACTTCCCCTCCCTCATCATCAGGAAACATCAATCCGTATCCTGAGGACAACAGAAGACGGCAGGAGGACAGGAACTCTGAGACCTAGATACCACCAGCACCGGGACACAAAGCACCTGTGTGCACAACGCCTGTTTAACTACTAAAGCCAGTTTATTATATAGTTCTACTTATTTGCTGTGAGGTTAATACTTAGAAAATTTGTATATTAATGTAAACAATTTAAAAAATCACTGATTGTATGTTTTCTTTTAGATGTAATGGTCCAAACTCAGCCTTGTAGACATTTATTGCATCCTGTAGGTAAATACACAGAACAGGCTCAGATCCAGGATGACCCAGCATGCTCTTCTTCCATTCTGGCTGTTAGGGATTGTATCAATAACTCAATGCCTACTGATGTTTCCACCTAACGGTATTTATTTAGAATGCAGGTAAGATTTAACTATATTTGTTAGCAAAGCAGACTGATCTTGGGAATTTCACTGCAGCACTGATGTCCACCTCTCTGTACACATTAGAGAGAATTACCACTTTACAGCTAAACACATTTAATAAAGATATAGGCTACGCATTGCAGACAATAAAAACAAAGTTCTAAGCATTAGAATTATAATGATCACATTAAAGAACATTTGGAGGAATGTTCTTTATTTTTGACTAGAATCTCAAATCTTTAAATTAAAATGTAACTGCTTTTTATCCATTTTCAGCCATTAAGACACCCAATATTAAATAAGACTACTTATAAAATTATTTATAATTATATGTATGTATATATATATAGATAGAGATCTTAATAAAATATATTTTAATGGTGTTTTAATGAGCTGTATCATTTTTTAAAACATTTTTTATAGAAATAAATAAGCAAGCAGCATTCCTTGTGTGTGTGCGCGTGCGCGAGCCTGCTCGCTTGTCTCGTCGGCCGTGACGGATGTGTGTGTGTGTGTGCGCGCACGTGCCTGCTCACTTGTCCCTCCGTCGGCCGTGACGGGTGTGTGTGAGTGACTACAGACAAATGCATGAGAGAGTTAGCAGCCTTGAAACAGCTTGATGAACTACTCTCCCCACATGTTTTAAAAATGCTAATATGCTATGCTAAATCTGCTATGCTAAATAATGATTTCTCTATAGAACTACAAAGTCCGGCTGGGGGAGGAGAGTACAGGTCTGCACTATGGAGGGGGGCGGAGTTTACAGCTCCTCCTCCAGTTTAAAGAGACAGTACCCAAAAACGGCTCGTTCTCAAGACTCTCCTCAGAACAGGGGTAGATGAGGGTCTGTAGAGCAACAATAATGAGGAAATCAGACCAAAGAACTGCAGTTCCACTGTTTTTAGACCCCCAACTGAAGGATTTAGATGTAAAAAGGAATAACTTAAAAGCATGTTATGTCTCCTTTAAAGACTGGCAGAGATGGGGACAGCCTAACTGAGGGTGGCAACTGGTTCCAGAGTGACGGTGCAAGGACTGAGAAAGCCTGGTCCCCGCGAGTAAGACACCTAGAACGAGGGATAGCGAGCAGGCCTTGGTCAGAGGAGCGCAGAGCGCGTGATGGGGAGTGTCTGTTCAGGAGTGTGGCTAGATAAGGGGGACCACCACCCTGGAAGAAATGATAAACAAAGACGAGGATTTTGAATTGTGAGCAATACCAAACCGGAAGCCAGCGCAGGGAGGCCAGAACCGGACTGATGTGGTCCCGTTTCCTGGTCCCAGTCAGGAACCTGGCTGCACTGTTCTGCACAACCTGTAGGCGACGCAGTGATGACTGACACAACCCTGCATAGAGAGTTGCAGTAGTCACGCCTAGAAATTACAAAGGCATGCAGTACCCGCTCCAGGTGGGCTCTCGACAGCATATGCTTGATTTTTGCAAGGCGTCTCAGGTGAAAGAAAGATGAGGGTAAGATGTAGAGGGGGCATGCAGAGGTCTTCATAGAGTTAACTAGTTTGGTTAACTCAGGCAAAGAAACTGGAGCAAAGCTATCTAGGATGACGGGCCGGGTTGGAGTCGGGAGAGGTAGATAAAGCTGAGGGAGAGATGCTAGATCTACCCTTATTGACTTTGTCCACAAAGAAAGACAGAACGTTTTCACAGTCTGCAACAGAGTGGATGGAGGCTGTAGGAGAGGCAGGAAAGACAATGTTGCTGATGGTGTTTAACAGCTCCCTCGCGTCTCTGACTGCAGAGTTAAAGGATGTCAGAAGATCCTTTAGGTGCAGCAGATGGACATGGAGATGGGTTTTCTTCCACAAGCGCTCAATTTTTCTGCATTGGCGCTTTAGGCTGCAAAGGCTGCCATTTAACCAGAGAGTAGAGTTCACTGCAGTAACTAATCTGGTTCTGACAGGACAGATGTTGTCCAGAATGGAGAGGCAGTGCTTGTTAAACTGAGAAGTTAAGAAATCTGAGTCGTTATCAGAAGAACAGGGTGGATTAAAAGCAGCAGAAAAATTGCTAGCTGTGCTCTCATTAAGAAAATGAGAACTAACCATACGGTGAGCAGGAGGTGGGGACGCAGAAACTTACAAGTTAAAGAAAATGCAATGGTGATCAGAAATATAAACGTCCTGAGGACAAACACTGTCCGCGTTTAGACTCAAAGTAAAAACAAGGTCTAGAGTGTGTCCCCTGGTTTGTGTGGGGCCAGAAACATGCAGGGTAAAGCTGAAGGAGTTCATAAGGCTGGAGAAATTCATGGCAAAGTGGTCTGAGGGATCATCAATGTGGATGTTAAAGTCACCAACATTCACCAGTCTGGACAGCTTCACAGTGGAGGATAGAAAGTCACTAAACTCCTGAAGGAAAGAACTGTTTGGACCAGGTTGATGATAAACCACAGCACACTAAAACGGGTCCTTACGTCCGACTTTAATCAGCTGCAGTTCAAAGGAAGCAAAGTGACCAGAGGTTGTAGAGCTACATGGAAGATGGTCTCTAAAAACAACAGCTAGGCCTCCACCACGACCAGAACCTCTGGGCTGGCTAAGAAAAGAATAACCACTCGGGCAGAATTCAATCAGACCAGAATAATCAGATGTTTGCTGCCAAACTTCAGTCAGAAAAAGAAAATCTAGGTTTTTAGAGAGAATTAGATCACTGAACAGGAAGGACTTATTGTTAACCGAGTGGGTATTTAATAGAGCCATGCTGAGTGAGGTGGAGGAATCAGAAACACAGGATTTTTAGGCACAGCCAAGGTGCCTGTTTTGGTGGCCTAAAGCCTGATTCATGCTTCTCCGTCTGCGTCAGTGCGGAGACACGCAACGTCCGCCGGAGAGCTCCGTAAGGGTGGATGGAATCGAGCTCTCTTTTCTAAACATCCGTCAGTCGAGATGGACAACGTAAGCTTGTGATTGGTCAGGACACCGCTGTTGTCTACAGCGCTGCCATTGCGCCCTCAAAAACATAAAGAGAGCCGAGGATAACAAGCAGCAGACACGGAGAAGCTTGAAGAATACCTCGCGAAAAAACTCTAAAAACATGAACGTTGAATTCTCCCGTGACTGGATGAGTGAAAAGATGTGCAGCAAGCGTTTTATTTGTGGACGGAAATGACAGGAAACGTGGGTTTAGAGGTGGCGAGCGCATGAAGAGGTGGAGGAGAATGAGAGACAAATGTGTCTGTGTTAAAAAGTCACTTATATACAAAAAACATAATATAAACACATTATCTTGGACCGAATACATGACAGGATACCACAGAACAGCGCTACGCCCTCTGTTGGCCTGCCAGGCAATTGCTTTGCAACACTCTCCAGGAGATGAAGTATGAGAGCAAAACGCTTCCGTCAATCCGTGCGTGTCTCCCTTGCGGAGCTGACGGAGAAGCATGAACCAGGCTTAAGGATTAAGTCTCTGCTTTTTGCAGATGATGTGGTCCTGGTGGCTTTATCAGACAGTGATCTCGAACTTTCGCTGGAGCGGTTTACTGCAGAGTGTCAAGCAGCTGAGATGAGAATCAGTTCCTCTAAATCCGAGACCATGGTCTTGAGTCGGAAAAGAGTAGAGTGCCTTCTCCGTGTCAGGGATAAGGTCCTGCCCCGAGTGGAGGAGTTTAAGTATCTCAGGGTCTTGTTCACAAGTGAGGGAAAGGTGGAGCGCAAGATCGATAGGCAGATTGGTGCTGCGTCTGCAGTGATGAGGGTGTTGTACCAATCCGTCGTGGTGAAGACAGAGCTGAGGCGGAAGGCAAAGCTCTCGATTTACGGGTCAATCTACATTCCTACCCTCACATATGGTCACGAGCAGCGGATCCATTTAAGCGGCTCTCCCTTGAAGATAAGGTGAGCAGCTCGGTCATTTGGGAGCGGCTCGGAATAGATCCACTGCTTCTCCACATCAAGTGGAGACAGTTGAGGTGGCTCGGGCATCTGATTAGGATGCCTCCTGGTGAGGTTGTCTGGACATGTCCAACAGGGAGGAGACCTAAAGGAAGACCCAGGACACGTTGGGGAGACTATGTATCACGGCTGGCCAGGGAACACTTTAAGATTCCCCCGGAGGAGCTGGCTCAAGTGGCTGGGGAGAGGGATGTCTGGACCTCTCTGCTTAGTCTACTGCCCCCATGACCCGACTCCGGATAAGCAGATGAAAATAAATGGATGGATAGACTATAAAGGCAGAAACAAATAAAAAAATTAATTTTTTAGAAAAATTCCAAAACGTCTCGAAATGGTTTTCAATCTGCTTACTTGGTCAAATCACAGGGCCTCAACATGTTTATGTGCCAGTAATTCCAGTAGTCTGGAGCTGTGGAACTAAAACCTTCCCAGTTTAATGCCTAAACATCTGCATAATTTCCTCACAATTGTATCTCAAACTACAAACCAACAGCAGATGCCAAGTGAGATGCTGGTTTAAACCTTACACACAAAAGCCTTTATTTCACACTGAACTGACTGGTGATGACTCACTGGAGACACAATGGTGCAAAAAAAATTGAAAACTTTCAGAAAGAATCGATTTGTATTGCGATGTACGACATATTTTTGACACTTGTACAAGATAATCCAATAGGGTTCGAATGAAGTACAAGAACTGTCCTAAATGTCTTCCTGCAATTTATCAACGAGGTCAGGACTTTGCTATATCGATAAAATCCATGAAGGACCACAGCAAAAAGGTTTTAAACATGTTTCAAATTCCTGCCTTGGGAGTCGCGGGAGACCCGACAACTGTGAACCTTTTGGGACCAAGTCGTTGGCAATTTATTGCTATTAGTTGCAGCCCAGTGAGACACTGGCTTTTGTTACAATGTTAGCCGTATTTAATGATTTCAATGGAAAAACGTCTAATTAAATATATTTCAACATTAGGACAGTGCACAGTGATTAAGTTAGTTATAGTTCTGCCAGAAATTAAAAACTAAAATTACATATTTGTTCAATTGTTGCAGTTTTAGGTAGACACATCTATACATAATTATATATGTACATCAACAATAAAGTGATACCCAGGTTACAATATCTTGGACTAAAAAGACCTCTACACGTCAGTCTGACCATATCGATCCACTAAAACTAAAGGGGTTTTCTCTGACTATTAAAAAATAAAGAAAGTGATTGATTCAATTTTATTTTCAATGTTATTTTTCATGTGTTGAACAAAAAGTATCCCACTCAGAGGAAACTTAGTTGCACTGCTGAATTATTAAAATAAAAACTAAAGAGGAATAAAGTTAGTAGTACTGAAATGAGAGCACATATCAGTGGGTAATGGACACATAAAAGTTGTAATGAAGCATATAAAGAATGAGCCAAGAAGGAAGAAAAAGCTAAGTGCCACTTCTCTTCTCCTGTTAAAAGGAAGGTCAGAAGCTTGTGTGGTCCCGTGATATTTGCGTTTGGCTTTTAGAGAAATGGCCACAGACTAACTGCTGCTCAGAAGAGACCCCGCAAGACTCAAGCTGACATTCATTCTTTTCACTAACCTTGTTAAGAAATAACCGAGTCAAAAGAGAGCCTAAATATTTTACATAAAAAAACACTGATAATAAATGCATGCCGGTAGAAAAAATAAAAATAAAAAAAAGCTTGGTTGCCATTTCAGCTCTTTCACTGGAAATCATTTGATAAAGTGCAGAAAGGGTCTTTTAAACAGCTCTGTCAAAGATCTAAAGCCAAGGAAAAACTCAATAGTTTGAAATGCCAGCAGTATTGTTCGTTGCACTTATTATAATTGCTGGTGACATATAATGATGCGGGGCTCTTTCTGAATGAGTCCACCCATTATGTGGGGTGAAAGCTGGTCTGGTCTGTGTGGTATGTGTGCCTGAATGTGGAGGCCCCTCTCACAGTGGGGGGAAGGCTCGACTTGGATGCTTCTGCGCTCTGGCTGCAGCTCTGCTCAGTGCACAGTGGGGGTAACACAAGGAACCCTATAGTACCGTAATGCAATATT